GTCACAGGCTTCAGCATCACAGCAACCACGAGTTACCTCTGTACAGCAACGCACAGACCAGTGCTATACCACCTAGAAGAACGTTTGACAGGAGAACAATTTGAACCTAGCCGAAGGCCACAGATGAAAATCACCCACCTTCGGCTTGGTAGCATAATTTCCTTTCCACTAGGCCAATGTAGCTCTTTGTCGTTGTCATTGTTATTATTGTTTGATGCCATCGAGTCGTAGACGACTCATAGCAACCTTATGAACGAACAGCCTGAGCACTGTTCGTACTCTTATATTAGACAATAAAAAACCCAGAAAAACAGATCCATTGCTCTCAAATTGATTTGGATACATGAATAATCTCTTAGTTTTCAAGACTGTATTTTGTTTTTACCAAATTTTTATTGGTTTGCATACAATTATTGATATACATTGTGTTTCATACAATCTCTCATTCAACTGCATTTTGCTCATGCATATTGGGGGTAGATTCATGAAAGCATGTAAGCCAGCTACTTCATGCTTTATGCCTTAATATGTCCATTTTGTTATTTTTAGGTGCCATCGAGTCAAGTATGACTCATAACAACCCTATGAACAACAGATCTGAACCCTGTTGTATTTTCTGTGTCATCTTCACACTCTCTGACACTGTGTCCATCCTCCTGGTCAAGGGTCTCCCTCTTCTTCACCAAGATTCTACCTTTCTGAGCAACATCTCTCTCTTCCATGAAAAGCCTTTCCTATAAACATGCCCAAAGTATGTGAGATGAAGCCCCATCAGCTTTGCCTTCAAAGAGCACTCTAGCTGTACTCTCTCCAATATATATTTGTGGATTCTTTTGGCTGTCCATAGCATGTTCAGTGCTCTTCTCCAACACCACAGTTCAAACGTATCAATTCTTCTGTCATCCTTATTCTTTACCCAGTTCTCAGATGCATATCAAAGGATCAGAAAGACCATCGCCTGAATCAGATGCACCTTAATCCTCAAAATTACATCAGTACTCCTCAATGATTTGGAGAAGTCCTTAATTTCAGACCTTCCCAGTGCCATATGACTCCTGATTTCCTGACTGCTAGTACCAAGGGTGTTAACTGTGGGTCCAAGAAAGACAAAGTTATTGATAGTTTCAATCTTATTTCCATCTATCATGACCTTGTCTATTGCTCCAGTGGTAAGAAACTTTTTCTTGACATTGAGATGCAATCCATATCACAGGCTGCATTTTTTTAATCTTCTGCAACAAGTGCTTCAAGTCTTCCTCACTTTAAACAAGCAAGGATGTGTTATCTACATAACACAGGTTATTGATGAGTCTCCCTCCGATTTTGATGCCACATTCCTCTTCATAGTGTCCAACTTCTCGAATAATCTGCTCAGCATACAGACTGAATAGGTATGGAAAGAGACTACAACCCTGACACATTCCTTTTTTTCCATTGTAAACTATGTAGTGTTTCCTTGCGCTGTTTACAGAACAGCCTCCTGGTTCAGGTATAGGTTTTGCATGAGCACAGTCAAGTGTTCTAACATTCTCATTCTTCTCAATGTTAGCCATAACTTGTTGTGATCTACACAGTCCAATGTCTTTACATAGTTTATTACAAATAGACATTCTTCTGGTATTATTTTCAGCCAGGATCCACTGACATTTGCGATGATATCCCCAGTGCCACAGCCTCTTCTCTCCAAATCCAGCTGGAATTTCTGGCAGTTCCCTATCTATGTACTGCTCTAGCCAATTTTTAATGATCTTCAGCAGTGTTTTGCTTGCATGTGCTATTAACGATATTGTTCAATAGTTTCCACACTCTGTTGGATTACCTTTCTTGGGAATGGAACAAATACGGATCTCTTCGAGTCACTTGGTCAGATAGCTGTCCTCCAAACTTCCTAGCATTGACTGGTGAGCATGTCCAGGACTGTATTTGTTAGTTGCAACATTACAATTGGTTTAACATCTATTTCTAGTGCTTTATTTCCATCAGTGGAGCCTGAATTTCTTCCTTACCATTGACTTTTGTTCATAAAGTAATTCCTGAAATACTTCTGTGTCAACAAATTTTTCTTGGTACAGTGCATCTGTGTATTCCATTCATCTTCGTTTGATGCTTTGTGGATCATTCAATATATTGCCCATAGTATTTTTCAGTATCATGACACAAAGCTTAAATTTGTTTTTCTGTTCCAGCTCTCTGCACATTCCATTATAATATTATGCTTTGTCTTCTTAAGCTGCCCTTTGAAAGCTTCTATTTAGTTCTTTTACTTAGACAAGTTTCCCCTTTGTTTTAGCTTCTTGACAAACTAGTGGAATTTTTAGAGTCCCCTGAGACATCCATTTAGGTTTTTCTTTCTCCTCTGTCTTTGTACTGGCCTTTTGTTTTCTTCATGGACGAGATCCTTGCTATCACCCCATAATTAAACTAGTCTTCAATCATTGGTATTCAGTGCTTCAAACCAATTCTTAAGATGATCTTGAAATTCAGATGGAATAGATTCAAGATCATATCTCAATTGTTGTGGACTTATTTTAATTTTCTTTGGCTCAATTTGAACTTGCTCATGAGGAACTGATGGTCTGACCCACAGTACACCCCAGACCTAGTTTTGAGCACCAGTATTGAGCTTCTCCAAAAATTTCCTTCCACAGATATAGTCAATCAGATTCCTATGCAGGTCATCAGGTGAGGTCCATGTGTAAATCGCCTTTTGTGTTTTTAAAAAAAATTATATATGCAATGAATAATCTCTGAAAAGACAAATCCATTCATTTTATTTACAACTTTATTTCTATCACTAAGATCACATTTTCCAACTACTATTTCTTCTTCACTATTTCCAACTTTTGCATTCCAGTTACCAATTATCATTAACCTCTTATTTCGAACCTCTTGTTTTAAGTAGTTGCATTCTGGAAAGTAGGCTACTTTTATTTAATTAAAAATGAAGTGGAAGGTGTTTCGTACTTTTGTTTTCAGTAACAATCAAGTGTAAGCTGTTTGGTCATTTTGATTTAATTAACCATCAGTTGTGGGCTAGAAGCATCTTGTTTAAACCAATTAGGAACTGGTAGATGGGTCTTTGTAATTAAAAATTGGTTTGTGCAGGCCCTCTGGGGCCTGGTGTGAAGATTAATTTGCTCTAAGAGTTACAGACTAAATTGTCAGTTTGTTGTGTGGGGAGCGGGGGAAGACATTGTTGTAACTGGTACAGCACTTATCAGTCAGTTAACAGTAGTGACATAACTTGTCAGTTACTGTGATATTGAAAGTTATGCCACTGGTGTGTCAAACACCTCAAGGGTTGCCCATGGTGGACAGATTTTAGGAGAGCTCTCAGATAAAGACAGACTGGGAAGTAGGATTGGCCACCCCCTTCTTCAACAATGGACCTTTGAAAATTCTATGAAGAGTAGAGGATTATGGATTGGTATAGCAGTAGTGGTAGAGCTCAAATTGTAAGTCATTTGAAATGAGGAAAAATAATGATAAACATGGGTAAATAACGAACATGGAATGTACATAGTTTGAATGTTGGAAAACTAAATTTTGGAAAATGAAATGGAAGGATGAAACATTTCCATACTAGGTTTTAGTGAGTCTACCTTTGGCCACTTTGAATCAGATAATCATACAGTATACTATGTAGGGAATTAAAAACAGATGAAGAATGGTGTTGCATTCATAGTTACAAAGTGCATTTCAAGTTCTATCCTGAAGTACAATGTTGTGAGTGAGAGGATATTATCCATTTGCATCCAAGGAAGATCCCTTACTATGACTAATAATCAAACATCTGCTCCTACATCTAGAATCAAAGAGGAAAAAACTGTAAACTTTTACTAAATCTTGCAGTCCCAAATTGACCAGACATTCAATCAAGATGCATTAATTCCCATTTTAGACAGTAAATTTCTGATCTGCCTATCCACATCAAACCAGTACTCCAAGGGAAGAACATATGCCTTTGCTGAAGAAGATTCTGTTCACTGTGGAAACTCAGAGCATCTGCATCCACAAGCACATTCCAGTCCAGAGCAAGCCATGATGTTTCAGGAATCCAGACCACCTCATGCTATTGGGTTGGCAAAGCATGCAACTTCTTATCACTAAGCCATCTGAGCTTTCTCTAATACTTAAATAAGTATTTATTGCTTCCTTAATAAGTCTAAGACTTACTTATTACAGTTTTAATAAGTAAGACTATAAGTAGTGAATTATAGGTTGTTATACGCAACACAAAGAGCTCTGATGGCACAGTAGGTTAACTGTTGGACTGTTAACTTAAAGGCTGGCAGTTTGAACCCAGCAGCCTCTTCCTATTAAGATTTACAATTTTCGAAATGCATGGAAGGTGATCATGAGTCAAAATACTAGGAAGACAATGCTGGTATTTTGGACACTATGTAGGTAGGTTGATTCTCTTTCCTTGCATTTAGGATGGAATTATGATTGTCTTGACCAATGACGTATGACAGAAGTGATGCCATATAAGTACTGAAGTTAGATTTTAACAAAACTGGAAGTTTCTACCTTGATGGTTAGAAGAAGCTTGAGTAAACAAGAAAAAAGTTAAACTACCCTATGGCAAAGTCTTAAAACTAAAATGAACAGTAGTGAATGTAGCTCAGTAGGCTCACTTTAGCTCTGCCAAGATGTCAAAGTGGGTGTGTGTGTGTGTTTTGAATCTTTCTTACCACACTATTTGCCAGGTGAGTGTCACTAGGTGACCACAAACAAAAGTGTAAGACTACTAAAAATCACATTTGCTATGACTTGAATCAAATACTAAAAATCACATTTGCTATGACTTGAATCAAACCTTGACATAAAGCCATGAAATATCTTAAACACTAAGTTTTGGGAGGTGATTTTTAGATGCAGCAATAAAAACCAGGAGTAGATATTAAAAGTATAAAAATATTTAACCTGATTTGAGCTGGATCACCTCAATATTTATAAAATTTGATGATTTATTTTTATAGAGTTCTGTTTATATAGAAAAAATTAAAGCATTTTAAACCACGTATAAGTCATATTGGCCCATTAAAACATACCATCCAAATTTCCTTCTGGTTTCAATGATCTCTGTGGAGATATGTCCCTAAACTTTGGACTTGGAATCTCAATAGGAGGAGAATCAATAGTAGTTGCATTTATTTCAAGTGTGACACATTGTTCTTTTTCTTCTCCGATGATTAATGGTTTACTTTTTTCTTCATTTGGAGAAATCGCTGTTAAAACAAAATATGAAGAATTATGCTATGTTTTTAAAATGACTTGAACTTTACTTTTACTTATTATGCTGGCATTTAGAGCATTACAATCCAAAGAGAAAGCTATAGATTCGGAGAAAAATTTTGGAAATGCTATTTTTTTTTGTTATGAGTTTAATATAAGAATATATAAAGAACATTACAACTTAACAATAAAGATGACAAATACTCTAATTTAAAAAAAAAAAACCCAACAAAGAAAATTATCACCGAAGTTAAAACAGAATAAGACCAAAAAAGTACATACAAAAACACTCAATGTCATTAAATCACAAAAATCAAACCAGCTACCTTTGGTACTGGCAGTTGGTGACCATGTTTTATGAAGTGGAACTGTTTGCTCTCTAAGCTTTTCAATGATTTTGATCTTTAAGGAAGTCATTTACCAGGTCTTTCTTCCAAGCTATCTCTGGGTGGTTTCACACTCCTAATATCTTAGTCCTAAGTGCTTATTGCTTGTGCTACCCAGGGATTTCTTAATAGATTTCTTCAAAATCACTACTTCAAGGATAGCTATGATCAAAAAGGCAAGGGGGGGGGGAAGTTACTGACAAGGCTGTGAGGAAATTGGACCCTTAGCCATTTCCAGTGGAAAGACAAAGTTACAAAGCTGTTGGAGAAAAGAGTTTGATAGTGCCTCAAAAATGCAATCATAGGATTTCCATATGACCTAGCAACCTCAAACCTAGGACTATAACCCAAAGAATTCAAAGTAGGAAGAAAACTAGGAATCTATTAGAAAATAAGTGTAAGACAACAGAAATAAGACTAAATGGCTAAAGAATTGGAAGACAATAATCAAAACAGTTCTTATATAGTAAATTATTTAATACACAAAACGATGTTTGGTAATAGTGCTTTCATTCTATATATGGAAAACTCAGCTCTCAGAGGAACATGCCCATGGTTGTTGAAGAAGTGCAGAGCCAGAATGTGAACTATAGTTTATTCTCTATAACATCAAGCAGGCATCACAAACACATTAATTATATCTTTGTCTTTGTGTATCAAGTCTTCTTCATCTTTAGTCTACCTCAAAACCAACATGTTCTCTTTGTGGCTTCCACAGAGTAAAGCTTCCTTTTATGAGGCACCATGAATTTTGGCTATAACATCTCATGGACTTTCCTATATGTATCTATTCCCTTCATGATAAGAAGTGTAACTTTTTTGTTTTAAAAATTCCTATCTAAAGCATCTATTTTTAAATAAGTAGAGTCAGGAAAATTTTAAAAGAAGATGTTAAATCTGGGAATTTCTTCTTAACTATAGAAGAAAAACCATTTAAATATCTCTGCTTACATCTGAACTTATGTGTATTTTCATTTTTGCCTTTTTCATATAATACTGTAATTTGTTTTTCTTTTTTTCTATCCTCTGTCAGCAAGAATGATTTTTTCTTTTTGTAGGCTTACAACCAAAATACAACAGAGCCTATACCTAATAAATAGTTGATGAATCTAAAAACAAAAGTCATCTATTATTTCTTTCTTCTAATTCAAAGTAAACAGATTATTAATGGAGTGTGAAGAGGTCTATTTCATGCTGAATAAATATTATTATACATCAAAATGTTTATACTTGATAAAAAATTTATATAAGAGAAATAAGAACGTAATGTTTTATAGACAGTGTCAATCAGTTCTTTTTGATACAGTGATTCTGTGTATTCCCTCCACATTCTCCTAATACTTTCTGGGTCATTTCATATATTGCCCATAGCATCTTTAAATATTGTGACTCGAAGTTTAAATTTGCTTTTTAGTTTTCTCAGCTTGAGAAATACAGAGCGAGTTTTTCCCTTCTGATTCTCCAATTCCAGCTTTCTGCACATTCCATTGTAATACTTTTCTTTGTTCTCTTGAACTGCCATTTGATATCCTCTATCCAGCTCTTTTACTTTGGCATGTTTTCCCTTTTAATCTGTATGTTGAGCAAATTACTCGAGAAATGGGACTCTATGAAGAGCAGTGTAGCATCAGGACTGGAGGGAGACTCAAATAACCTGTGTTATGCAGATGACACAATCTTGCTTACTGAAAGAGAGGAGGACTTGAAGCACTTGTTGCAGGTCAAAGAATGCAGCCTGTGGTGTGGATTCCATTTCATTGTCAAGAAAACAAAGATTCTTTCCACTGGACCAACAGGCCACATCATGATTGGTAGAGAAGAGATTGAAACTGTCAACAACTTCATCTTACTTGGATCCACAATTAATGCCCTTGGTACCAGCAGTCAGGAAATAAGGAGACACACCACACTGGGAAAACCTGCAGTTGGGGACTTCTCCAAATTACTGAGTGATGTCCTTTTGAGGACTACGATGCATCTGATACAGGTAACGCTCTTTCTGATCACTTGCTATGCACCTGAGAACTGGACAAAGAATAAGGATGACAGAAGAATTGATGTCTTTGAGCTGTGGTGTTGGAGAAGAGCACCGAACATCCTATGGATGGTCAAAAGAACAAAGAAATATGTCTTTCAGAGGATTCAGCTAGAGTGCTCTTTGGAGGAAAGAATGATACAGCTTTGCCTCACATACTTTGGGCATGTTGCTAAAAGGGGCTATTCCTTGGAGAGGGACATGATAAAGGGTGGAAGTTTGGCGAAGGAAAGAGGAAGATCCTCAACCAGGTGGATTGACACAGGGACTGTTCCAATGGGCTCTAGTGTGTCAGGAAGTACAAAGATGGAATATGATAGAACAGGGTTCAGATCTGTTATTCAAAGGGTCATTATGAGTTGTACTTGACTTGACGGCACCTAACAATAACAACAATAAAACCAATAGCTCTCTTGAGCATGGATACATGTAGACTTTTCTGACTACAAAATAATCTGAAATTTATTTCAGTATTTCTGAAAATACTTTTTAGTCTGGCAACATTTCTATACTTCATAAATAAGAAATTTTGATAAAAAACTCAGACAAGAATGTTAATTTATTAACTCTCATTTTTTCACTAACTCTTTTATTTTTTTTTTACTTATTGACATGTAAGTGCACAACTTCTTAACATAAAAGAACACACAAGTTAGTTACAAATACACACACTTTCTGTTAGGGGCCTCTTCCCACAAAATTATATGTATGTTATAATTTAAACTGGCTTTTTGCCTTTGCTATTATAGAAGATGTGGGAAGCATTGGATTCTGGAGGGTGGGATGTTTTGTGTTGGCTGAGGGTCAGGTGTGGACTGTTTTTATTTTGTTCACAATTGTGTGTGAGCCAATTTTACTTGCTAGATTTAGCTAACAATGAACTGTGGGCCGAAGCAGCTTGTTTAGAATCAATAGGACCTGGTGGAGGGTCTTGGTATTTAAAAGTCGGTTGTGCCCTTGGGCTTGGTGTTAATTGTGTTTGGAACTTACTGGTGTTTGGGACTAACACCGGTACAGAACTGGGTTGTCAATCTGCTGTACTGACATAATGTGGGGTTGCTGTGATGCTAAACACCGTGTCATTGTGTACCCATGGTGGACAGTGTTTGGTGGAGCTCCCAGACTAAGACAGGCTTGGAAGCAGAAGTGGCATCCACAACATGCCTCAGCAAACTCTATGAACTTAGGGAAATGATGACAGTTATAGAACAGGGATCAGGCCTTTTGTTCATAGCGTCGCTATGAATCGTGTTTTGACGTGACAGCACTTAACCACAACATTATTATAGAAGAAACTGGAATAATTAATGGCTAAGAGATTTACCCTTAAGAAGGAAAGAGCAACCTAGTTTTTTCAGTTCAATAGCCCCTGTACAGTTCATTTTGCTGGCTAACTGTAAGCATCTGGTTTGGTTTTTTTTTTTTTTTGGAACATGTGAAGAGCCTCACCTCCTTTGTTACTTTTCGTCCAGCTTTGAATATGAGTATCCTCCTAAGCTTTAAGAAGAGATAGAGAAAGATGTAGAAAGAAAAAGAGAGAGCATGCAGAGTGACATATTAAAACCTAGGCCCAACTCCCAAAATGCAAAAACTATTTTCTACTTCCTCATCATCTAAATAAACTACCAAGTCTCAAAACACTGATTTTATATATGGACAGTCTTCTTCATGAATAGCAAACATAGCCCAAAAAACCAAATCCACAGTCATTGCCTCAATTCTGACTGGCAACCTGTTAGAACAGAATAGAACTGCCCTGTTGGGTTTCCAAGTCTGTAATCTACAGAAACAAACTAGCACATTTTAGTTTTCTTTATCAAAAGGAACTATATAATACCATAATCCAAAGACTCATAGATAATGTTTCTCTCCTGCTTCACTGTAACTCAACTTCTCCTATTAAGAAATATGTTTGTCATATCAACTAATGATAATTGTAGTTAATCTAATTCCTGAATCCACTATTCATTTCACTGGATTGTTCCTCTATCTTTCTTCATTTAATACATTTTCTACTTTTCAGACTCTCCTCACAGACATTTTCTCTGTTGTTTCAGATAGCTTCCAGATCAAATGAGGTAAAATCTCAAGATCACCCACTAAAAACAATTTACAAAAGAATACGAACATTGTCCATCTAAAAAGAATATATAAAACAAAATTATAATATCTTATAAATAATTCACTTAAAATAGAAACACCTTTCCACAAACTCTATTTTTTAATCACTAATTTCTAGTATAGAAAAATAAGTGGTCTTTGCTTACCACTTCTAACAGTCATGCTTTCCAAAAGTTCTGTCTGAAGTTGTAGTTCAGCTTCTCCAAGTATCTTCAGAACAGAATCTGTAGGACTTTTGCCCCAAACTTTTCTTGGAGATCCACCAGGATCTAATTTAATAACCTCTCCAACTGTGTTTTCTATTAGAAAAAGAGAAAAATAATTTTCAATGATGGAACATAAAAATACTGTGTTATAAAGCTTGGACTCTGTCCTCAAATGAATGCTTCATGAGAAAACGTTTGTCTCACAAAGAGCATATATATGATAATGCTTGAAATAAAACAGTCATAACTAGCCATAAGAACGAAGTCTATAATTTCCCTTTTTAGGAGAATATGAAACAAACCATGTCTTTATAAATTTAATTTTAAAAAACAAAACATATTGAAAAAGCAGAAAAAGTATTTCTAAGTAAATATATTTTATCACCTAACTTATACTTCTGTCTGACAACAATTTTAGTTAAACCATAGTAATAAAATTTAGCAAACCAAAATCAGAAAATGACCACTCAAGTTTGAAATATTCATATCTTTAGAACATTTTATAATAATATGTGAAGTATACAGCTACCAAGCCATAATAAATAAAATATAACATCAGATGTTAAGGTATACAAGTTATACAAACTTTCAATGGTATCATAAAAAATATTGCTATTAATCTATTGCAACTCACCGAAATGCTACAATATAGGTAGAACTTCCCAACAGAAACTGTCAACTATGCCTTTTACAGAGGTAGACTACCACATCTTTCACCTGTTGGGTGATTGGTGAGTTTTAACTACATAACATAATAGACATGAACGAAAGTTTATGTGTTATTTCTCTGGCAGAGAATGTATGTAATTCAGTAGGTAATAATCCATTTTGAACAGATAAAATGATTAGTAATGGCGAATTTTCAAGTTCCTTTGCTTGCAGAAAGTGAAGACAACTTGAAGCCCTTATTGTAGAAGATCAAAGACTATCTAGTCTTCAATATAGGTTACATCCCAACATCAAGAAAACAAAAATTCTCACCACTTGAACAATAAACACCACCATGAAAGATGGAGAAAAGAATGAAGTTGTTTCATTTTACATGGATCTACAATCAATACTCTTGAAAGCAGCAGTCAAGAAATCAAAACCCATGTTATACTGAGGATATCTGCTGTCAAGGCTTCTCCAATGTTCTAAAGAGCAAGGATGTTAGCTTAAAGATTAAGGTGCATCTGATTCAATCCATGGGATTTTCAACCACTTCTATGTTTTTAAAGTTGGACAATGAAGATCAGGAAGATCAGAGAAGAATTGGTTCATTTAAACTATGGTGTTAGCAAAGAGTACTAAATGTATCATGAAATGCCAAAATACCAAACAAATCTGTCTGGAAGAAGACAGGAGTGTTCCTTAAAGGCAAGGATGGTAAAACTTCATCTCACTTACTTTGGGCATATTTTCAGGTGTAACCAGTCCTTGAAGAGAGACATCATGGTAGGAAAGGTTGAATTTTAGAAAAGACAGACTCTTAAGGAGATGATTTGACACAGTCACTACCATCATGATCCTAGGTAGGAAAGAGATCATGAGGACAGTGCAGAATATGGCAAAGTTTAGATCTTTTGTTCATAGTTACTATAAATTGTGGTCAACAGTACATAACAACATTAGTGGAGAACTAAAAGTGGACCTCTTGCGGCCTACTAGATAGAAAGTTGTACTGTGAACAAAAAGGTAGGCAGATCAAATATAATAACTGCTTCTAGGGACAAAGATAGGCAATCTCCTCTGATGCCATTTATATCTTCTGAAAACCCAATGGAGGGTCAGCTATGAGTCTCTTCTGACTCTACAGCAATGAGCCTGAGTGTTCTGACTTAATGAGGAAATAAGAATGGCAGTTCTGGTGGTCTGTTGGTAAGAAACTATGTTGTAATCTCAAAGGCCCATGGTTCAAATACACCAGCTGCTCTGCAGGATGTTGTTGTTAAGTGTTATTGAGTCATAGGCACCTCATAGCGACCCTATCAACAAAAGTCCTCAACACTTGTGTGACTTTCGTCCTTTCTCCAGGTTCAAAGGGTTTCTGGAGGCAAGCTATTATGGAAGTGGATGCCACTCCTGCTTCCAAGCTTGTTTTAATCAGGGAGCACCACCAAACACTGTCTGCCATGGCAACCATTATCTCATTTGACACATCAGTGTCACAGCGTTCAGCATCACAGCAACCACAACATACCTCTGTACGGTAAGTGGACACACCAGGGCCATCTGACCTTTGACTTGGTAGCTCTGCAGGATAAGGATGTGCAATCTCCTCTTGTTTGATTTACTGCCTTGGAAAATCTGCTGGATGGTAAACTATGGTTTAGTTCTGATTCTACAGTACTTAACAACTTAAAAAGAAGGATGGGACAAGAAGAAGGGGTGCTTAGCAATTCCTCTCCTGATTTCCAGACTGCTGGTACTGAGGGTGTTGACTGTGGATCTAAGTAAGAGGAAATCATTGACAGTTTAAATTCTTTCTCATCTTTCAAGTTGTTGCCTATTGATCCATTGGTAAGGACCTTCATTTTCTTGTTATTGATACATAATCCAGACTGAAGGCTGCAGTCTTTGATCTTCTGCAGCAAGCATTTCAGCACCTTCTCACTTTCAGCAAACAAAGTTATGTCATCTGCAGAACATGGGTTTTAATGAGTCCATACTCAGTAGAAAATTCAAATATTCTACAGTTCTTCTTGTATTGTTTTTGTACCTTTGCACTGTTCAGTACACAGTTCTAGAAAGAGTAGTCATATCCTCCCTCAACTGAATTTATTCTCTCTACATCAAAGGAATATAAGTCAGGTTTTGTTATTATCTGGGAATTCCATTATTCTCCTTTTCTTTAAGCAATTTCCCCCGACTGGATTTGTCAACATCTTTGTTGAGCATCAACTGAATATGAAGAACAGGTCTGACTCTTGGTTCTATTTTTCAACCATCTTTTTTAAAATGTGTTGCTCCTTCTTGTTGTTGTTAGGTGTTGTGGGGTAAATTAATGTTCTCAGTGACTGTGAACAACAGATCTGAACCTTGCTCTATCCTCCAGCATCCTCATGTTCTCTGGTGTACTTGAGTCCATTTTTTCAGTTACTTTGTCAATCCATCATCATAAAGATGAAGGGAATACAGAGAGTCACTGTACCAAAAAGAACTGGCTGGTACTAAAATATGTCAGGAAGTACCATATCATTAAGATCCAAGGGTAATGAAGGAAATTAAAGCTGCACTGAAGGCATTTCTAAAAATAAGGCCTCAGGAACCGAGGTGATAACAATTGACATATTTCAAAAGACAGATACAGCCCTTACCAGTCTACGCCAAGAAATTTGGAGAATAGCTGCCTGACCAACAGACTAGATTGTTGTTGCTGTTGTTGTTGTTATGTACCAGTCACCTGCGACACAGTGACCTTTTTACAACAGCCCAAAACCCTGCTCTACCCTTTGCCAATCTTATTGTCTCTGATACACCTATTCCCATTACTCTAGTCATTGAACCAAATCATCCCATCAAAAGTCTTCTTCTCTTGCACTGTCCCTCCATTCTTCCAAGAATGAAGTACCTCTCCAAGGATTGATAGCGCCTTGCAACAAGTCCAAAGTATTTCAGACGGAGCTTCAGAATCCTTGTCTCCAAGGAGCAGCTTGATCTCACCCTCTCCAGGACAAATTTATTTGTGCTCTTAGCAGTCCATGGTAATTCAATACTCTTCTCCAGCACCACAGCTCAAAGGCATCAATTCTCCTTTTATCATCCCTAGTCAATGTCCAGCTTTCTGATGAATAGCAAGTAATTGCAAAGAAAATGGCTTGTATCAGCTGCACTTTGGTGTCCAGACTGACAATGTTGCTCTTAAGTACTTTGGAGAGGTCTCTCACAGCAGACTTTCCCAGTGCAATTCGTCTTTTCATTTCCTGGCTGCTGGTACCATGAGTGTTGATTGTAGAGCCAAGTAAACTGAGGCCGTTAACAATTTCAGTCTCTTCACCATCTATCATGACACTGCCAATCGGCCTGGTGGTGAGAATCTTTGTTTTCTTAACGTTGAGCTTCAATTCATATAGAAGGCTGCAGTCCTTGACCTTCTGCAGCAAGCACTTCAGGTCCTTTGTGAGGCTGCTTCAAGAACCAGAAGTTTAATTAAGTTGTACACAGAATTGATATACACTGCAGTTAACCTGCCACTTGGGCCCAACTATGCCAGAGATATTAAGGATGGTAGAGGATAGGACAGTGTTCAGATCAGTTGTTGTTCATAGAGTTGTTATGAGCTGTATTAGACTCGATAACACCTTAAAACCACCACCATAGAAAAGGTCTTAAAAGCACTGGAAGAAACAAGATCCAGAGTTTATACTGTACCAAAATAGTTCCTATTCCCATCAGACATAAAAGAAAATCTTATAATTTACCAGACATCAGAAGGCTTTCCAGTTCAATTAGATCTATCTACTAATGCTGTGCAAATCATTAAAGAAGGGGAACTTTAAAGAAGAATGAATCATAAGATTCAGAGACTCATCCACAGCCTATTTTATCAACAAACTTTTCAAGAGATGACACAAACTTTTTTCCTGAAAGAGAGAAGGACTTGAGGCACTTGCTGCAGAAAGATAATCAAGGACTACTGCCTTCAATATGGATTATATCTCACCATCAAGAAAACAAAAATCCTCAAAACCAGGGCAATGGGACAGATGGAGGAAATACTAAAAAATAACAATTTGGAATTCTATACTCAGAAAAATATCTTTGCAAAATGAAGATAAAACCTTTAGAGATGTGTAAAAGCTGAAAAAATTAATCACTAATAGAAGCGCAATAATAGAAATGTTAACGGGACTCTACAATACCGACACAGGTTTGGTAAAGCTTTCAGTCAATGAAAATTCTTGCTAGTTAATGTGAAAAGACTCAAAATGAGGGAAGAAACAACTGCAAACATTCATTCATGACTGGAAGACTGAAGTATGAATCTACGAAAACAAAGTCATTAAAAATGGGACACTTAAAGATTAATATCTTAGGCATTACTGAGATGAAAAGGGATAATACTGGCCATTTTGATTCATGCTACCACATGATTTACTAAGAATGACAAAATGAAGAAGAATGGAATTGCATTTATTTTCAAAAAGAGCATTTCAAGAACTATCCTGAGGTACAAGTCTACCAGTGATAGAATACTACTAACCATAAGCATAAAAAGACAACCTGTTATTACAAGTAATATTTAAAATATGCACCAAATATTAAAGCCAAAGATGAAGAAATTGAGGATTTCTACCAACTTCAGCAGTCTGAGATGGATCAAACATGTAATCAACATGTAACAATGGTGACTAGAATATAAAAGTTGAAAACAAACAAGGTGGATGAGAAGTTGAAAAATACGACCTTGCAGACAGAAAATTGGGTCAGAAATAGCTAAATAGAATTTTGTACAACGGTACTTCTATGTAGTTTGTTGCTTCTACCATATTATATTTGAATTAAAATTGTTGCTTTATGGTTTTTCTTATCACTTAATGGAAAAGAGTATATATGAACCATTATTGAACACATACTGTTTAAAATGTGTGTCTGATAAGAAGGTTAAAAAATGTGTAGTGATGAAGAAAGTATAAACAAAAACTCTTTTCACTTTTCTCTAATGTAAGAAGATATTATAAAAAAGTTTATCAAGAACTTACTTAAAACCTTTCTAGTTTAGTCAAACTTGCCTTTTAGAATGTAAGTTCACAGGGCACATATATTTAGTTTTATGGTAGCTATTGTTCCCTGCTGTATCTCTAGTGCCTGGAACAATATATGTAATACACTTGTGGTGCTGGTTATGTGCTGTTGGAACCGATTCACAGGTGACCCTCCAGAAGTTTTTTAGTACCTGGGATGTGGAGCAGGGGGACTGATTAATATATTGAGTACTTAATTATTATTTGCTAAATGAATAAATTATTTAGTTAGATCTTCTTAACATTCTTGCTGAATAAATATCCATGTGACTTACCTGAGAACCAAAGTTCATTACCCTGATTCTTACATAGAGAGTTCTAGTGGCCTAGTGTTTTATTAAAATAAAACTGTATTTTAATATGTACAGAAGCAGCTGTGCAATCATCCCAACGGCACATGGTTAGAATTCATCAGCTGCTCTGTGGGAGATGAATGAGCAATCTCCTTCCTTGTGCTGTACTGCCTCTGAGAGCCTGCTGGAGGATCAGCAATGGGTCTGTTCTGACTCGACGGCACAAAACAATAACAGAATAATCTGATATGGTATGAAGAACAAATACGTATCATGAATTTCCTCTCCAGAGTGCACATTTTCATAATAAAAATCTTTGCTATTCTTAAAAGTAACAGTCTCCTCCATTCCGTTTTACTGTGTGCAGAGACACGTCTCAGTTCCTGTAAGTCTCCTCCTTTAGATAGGCTTATGTTGTTGTTATGTGCCGTTGGGTCGCTTGCGACTCATAGCGACCCTATGTACAACAGCCCTAATCTCTTCTCTGTCCTGTGCCAATTGCACCGTCTCCGACACACACATCCCCATTACCCCAGTCACTGAATCAATCCACCTCATAGGGGGCCTTCCCCTTCTGCGCTGTCCCTCTCCAAGGACCTGACCCTCCTTGCAACATGTCCAAAGTATGTTAGACGGAGCCTTAGAATCCTTGACTCCAAGGAGCAGCCGGTTTGACCCTTTCCAGGATGAATCTATTTGTTTTCGTAGCAGTCCATGGTACCCTCAATACTTTTCTCCAGCACCACAGCTCAAAGGCATCAATTCTCCTTCTATCCTCCTTGGTCATTGTCCAACTCTCTGATGCATAACAAGTGATAGCAAAGAACATGGCAGATAGGCTTATACTTGTGCTAAATCAAAACAGGATATAGTAGTTTTATACACACTTGCAGTGGCAGAGAAGGATGAATCCAATGTTAATTCATCCAGAGGAATCACAAGTTGACCTCCTGCTTCCCACTTCTTACGATCAGATGAAACTGGTTTTTCTCCTTCCCGTTCTTTGGCATCTTCATGAACAATTATCTTACAAGTGTCAGAGCAATGATGATTTCCTTTTTCATCTTCTTGTGCTCTCAGGTTTTGGTTTAATCTACGTAGTATTTCTCGTTTACTCTGAAAGAGTTACAATCTTATTTTAATATGTATATGGATCAAGTAAAATGATTGACAATGAAATTTTGAAAACTGTACTTACTGAAATAGTGCTACAGGTCTTTTGCATTTCTTCTGAGGTTTCCTGGGTATCACCTAAGCTGTCCTTTGAACACAAATAGTTACATAATAATGAATAATGTTCTTTTAAAAGTATTTTCTTTTTTTAAATGTTATACTTGTTACTTTTAAATCAATTTCTTCTTATGAATATTTTTAATCTTTTAAAAGGGTAACACAATTTCTTGCATTACCAGCAAAGAGAAATATTTAAATGTTACCAACTAATAGACACTTTGTAGTGGAAGGGCCAATTCTCAATTTCATACATAGATTACAGATAACAGAACTATTTCTTTCTTCTTAGATCCAATTTTTTGTAATCTTTAGTCAGTGTTACAAATACTTATTAATATACACTTTTAATCAGAAGTAGGGATATTTTTTACATATAAAGTAATTTAAGTGGTATTTAAATTTCATATATATAAATTTGAGGATAGGCTTTTCTCTCTTAAAAAAAGATGCAATGAAAATGAGTTCTGAACCACTGTACTTATAATAAAAAATTTTTGTCTTTTGACTAGTCTAATAAGAATAATCTAGGCCATATGTAATTTTAAATTCTACAAAAATGAGGAAATCAGTAGTTATTTAAAAAGAGTGAAAGCAAAAATATCTAGGCTATGTATACAGTTTATGCAAGAAATATTATCAAAGTTTTAGGTAAGTGATTTCACTAAAAAAAAGTAAAAAGAAAAATAATCTAGTTATATGGATTACCTCAAAATTTGTAAAACTGGACAAAAATACAAAAGCATTTATAGGTCAATTTTAAAAGTAGTGCATATACATGAGACAAAGAACATTTTATCCAGTAAAGCAGTCAGGAATTAGTAGCACTACAACCAGAGAGAAGAACAGCTACTTGAGAAGTAGCTGGGTTCTAGGAAAACAAATCACAGAGTGACATCTGAAGTTGAAGTGAACATGTAGCATATGCAAATTTTTTATCAGAAATAAAGAGACTGAACATATGAAGAAGAAAAGCAGTTTCTTATATGATGTTCTTGAGAATGATCAACAAATTTATGCTGTATCACTAATTTACTATTTAATATAAGCATAAAAATTGGAAACCATTAACTGAACAACTTGGTGTTGCTGTAATGCTGCACACTGTTCCATAGTCTAGTCAGATATCATTATGGTTATGTATGTATGTACAATGTTTGGATGAGCTTCCAGATTGATTTATGCTGGGAAGCAGAAGTGACATCCATTTCCTAAACTAGATGCCTCTGGAAACTCTACAAATGCTCTAAACTCTATAAATGTACAAAAATGATGTTAGTTATAGACTGGAGTTCAGGCCTTTTGTGCAAAGCTTACTCTGAGTAGTATTCGACCTGACAACAGTTAATGAGACTAGTGCTGTTATATCTGGAGGAACACTCTTCCACTTTGTACATCACTCTGGGTCAATGCGCTGTATGAAATAACCTGGGTTTGCTTTGATGCTGAACCTTGTGTCATTGGGGTATCAAATACAAGAATGGTTTCCCAATGTGGACAGTGTTTGGTGGAGCTCCTAGGTGTGGAAGCGGTTTGGAAGCAAGAGGGGCATCCACTTCCTAAACCACGTGCCTCTGGAAACTCTATGAACTTGGAGATATGACGATAGTTATGGAAAGGCATTCGGTTTTTGTTCATCGAGTCATTATGAGTCATGCTCAACTTGATGGCAATCAACAACAACAACTAACTGAAATGATTAAATAAACTTAAAAGGAGTTAGCTGCTGCCATCTGTAGGGCCATTATCCTGGACAAGGTCTCCATTGTTCCTGTGTGGTGTGGCTACTGGGGGAACAAGATTGGCAAGGCTCACACTGTTCCCTACAAGGTGACTGTGCACGGTGGCTCTGTGTTGGTGCATCCGATCCTGCACCCCAATGCACTGGAATCGTCTCAGTCCCTGTGTCCAAGAAGCTGCTGCTGATGGCTTCAATTGATTACTGTTATCCCTCAGCCAGGGGCTGCACAGCTACCCCGGGCAACTTCATCAAAGGTCACCTTTGATACTACCTCCAAGACCTACAGCTACTTGACCCAGATCTCTGGAAAGAGACTCTGTTCACCAAGTCTCCCTACCAGGAATTCATTGACCATCTTTTAAAGACTCATACCAGAGTCTCCTTGCAGAGGACCCAGGCTCCAGCTGTAGCAACCACATAGTGAATTTTGTATAACAAATAAATGAATTAAGTTAAAAAAACAAACAAACAAAACACCTTAAATGAAATGCCACAAATAAAAGATAAGACATCAATGATCAGGAAGTAAGACAATTTGGCTAATGTGTTATGTGTGTTACTAGCCTTTTTTCCCTTCTGTCTGTTGAATGATAGGCTAAATCTCACATGATGATTTCCTTTCTCTGAAACAGTCTTCAAATTTCAGATGGATATTTGATATTATCACATTTAAACTTTTCACTTGTCTATATTTCTTGGCTTTATTATCCATATGGCATGACAGAAATTCAGAAGTAGGAAGTAAAAAGAAATAATTTCTAAATAAAGGGTAATTTCACCAAGTCTCTACAACATGTTACTAACAAAACTTCTAATGTAGTTATTTAAGTACCAAAGAGAACATTTTTTTAAGTCAATGTTTAATATTAGATATGTAATGTCAAAATATGTTCCATTCTTTCAATGCATTCCTATTTATGTTTTTATTTACTCAATATTCTTTTAAAGCAAAAGAGGAGAAAGGGAGTAATTTTAATATATTATTATCATCAAGTGGCATCCACTTCCTAAACAGCATGCCTCTGGAAACTCTGTGAACTTTAATAAATGGTGACGGTTGTGGAAGAGCTTCAGGCCTTCTGTTCAGAGGATTGCTATGAGTCTTGTTCAACTTGACGGCAATCAACAACAACAACAGTTATCATCAAGTAGTCTTAGATATAAATGTTCTTAAAAACAAAGCTTCAATAGTCACAGTAACCACACATATAAATCTTAAAAAAATCTAATAAAATATTTGGATAATACTGTTTCATCAAGCTTAGTTTCTTTTTAAAATAATACATTGACTTTGAGGAGTTTCAAATTTTAGTATACTTACCATACTCACTTCTTTCAAAGCTGAAGTCACTGAAATAATAGGTCTCATCTGTTGTTTTGATGGAGAGCCGGACGTTTCACGCTGCCCCAAAGGTAAAGACAGATCAGAATTCTTGATTTGTTTAGCCACCAATTATCATAAACAATTTTTATTATATAGAATAATTTATATTTGCATGAAGAAATAAAATGGCATATATGAGATATATGTAGACTTAGCTAATACAAACAATTCTTTCATTCTTCAATTATTTATTTAGTAAGACGTTGAGCTGGGTGCTGGGGCAGAGGATTGAATGAGAAAAAATATCTCTTGCCTCACGAATAATTGTATGTCAAATAATTGCATTATCAATGTTGTAAAAAGATCCTGAAAAGCGAGTCTGTCTTCTAAAAAATTCAGTATTAGTTCTCTCATTTTCATTTCACTCCACTATAACATTTGATTGTAAAATCAGATAATTCCATTTTATACCTCTAAAAAGAAATTCTTGGGCAATTTCTAAATCTTTGACCAAGAGATTACTCTTTAAAGTTTTAACACCAATTTCCCAACATAAGAACTTTATTATAAAAATGTCAATATAGATAACTAAGTGAAAAAGGGAATAGAAAGTTTACTTCACTAAAACAATATCCTCATAGTTGCTTTGTTTGTATCTTGTCACTTAAATGCTAAACAATATTAAGGTTCTAAAACTTAAATGAACTAGAATTTATAGTTATGTTAACAGTAACATAAAGGAACTCTTGTGTTTTCACATATAACTAAGCAAAAGTTGCTGCTATGCCACCAGCCACTCTGGAAAATATGGGGAGTCTTTTCTAGGGAGTATTTACAAGCTTTAGGAATCTGATGGAAGACTGCCATGACTCATAACTGACTTGATGGCTGTAACACAGCAGAACCTCTACTCTCTACTTCCACCAATGAGTGAATTACAAGTTCTAGAGAACATGTATTTTCTATGAGAATCCCTATTGTCACTGTGGTTAAAAGACGCAGCTGCCCAGCAAGCTCACTGCAAGGTGGCCTGTCAGTGGTTCTGTGCTGATTACAGCCCTGAAAACTGTCCATGGCAGATCTACTGTCTTCTCTGGGGTCACTACTTGAAAGCAATATCTTGCTTTAGCTTTTGGATACATTTGTTGTTGTTGTTGTTATGTGCTGTCGAGTAGCTTGCGACTCATAGCGACCCTGTGTACAACAGCCGTAAACTCTGCTCTGTCCTGTGCCAATCGCACTGCCTCTGAAACACCCATCCTGATTACCCCAGTCACTGAATCAATCCACCTCATAGAGGATCTGCCCCTATTGTGCTGTCCCACATACAATATTTAGCATCTTCTAAAATAGGTATTAAATTTAGAAGGCTAATATTAAGCCTCCCCAAGTTTCATGTTACACACATACCTATATTTTCTATAACAGAAGACACTAACTTCACTTTAATTCGACAGGTTAGCATTCTTGAAAGATGGTTTTCAAGTAAATTCTTAGAAAATCTAGAGCTTACACTCTAAATATTATGACCTCCAATGGTTAAACTTTGAAACTCTTAAGATGATTATATAACCATCGAGTATATTCAATCAAATACACATATTACAGATTTTGAGGAAACAAAAATAAGTTCCAAATTTGTTCTGAATAGTAGTGTATTAAGGACAAGACTGCCTAAGGTACAAATAGATGTGTCTTAGAAAAAATGCAGCCAGAGAGTCCTTGAAGGCAAGGAAGGTGCCTCGCATACTTTGGACATGTTGCTAGGAGAGGCTATTTCTTAAAGAAGGACATCATGCTTGGAGATGATGAAGGAGAGGAAGACACTCAACCAGGTGGACTGATACTAACTGCAGCAATGGGCCTGAGTGTGTCAGAGACTGAGGTTGGCTCATGATAGGACACGGCTCAGATCTGTTGTTCATAGGTTCACCATGAGTCAAATATAACTTGAGGGCACCTCACAACAACATAAAATTTACCTAGATGATTATTTAAAGAGAAAAATATCATTTGGATACAGATACTCTGATATTTTTATTTAAATCAGTTATCATTTTTTAGCACCACTCAACTATTATATTTATGAACTGTGTTACACTAATTCACTTAGAGAAATTATTTTATAATAATATAA